ATATCCTAGACAGATAAACCGTCTTCGCTCAGAATCGTTTTTTGTATACAATGATATAATATCATTGGATTCAAATTTAATTCCATCCATTTTTTATTTTATTTGTATTGAAAAAGATTTAAGATTTAAATATTGAAGTAACTTGTTTTTTATTATGTAGAACTTGGTTGTATAAAAAATTTTTTTTATTCATTTTAGTTGTATAATAAAGTTTAAAAATTTTAATATTGAAGTAATTTGTTTTATTTTATTATGTTAAATTTAGTTCAGWATAAACCTACAGAATTTTTTTCATTTTGCTATAAGTTCCTTAAAAAGTTATTTTATTTAAAATAAACATTGTAACATGAGTCTCTTGTCTGGTAGTTTTAAAACGTATACCTACCTGAGCCTTCAGGGCCTCAGTCCGCCCCTGTAGGTATATATATATATACCATTATACTTATCGTATTTTCTCGATTTTCCGATATCTTGAAATTGGTTACTATAACATGTAATGTAAGAACTAAGAACACTATATCATAATTACTTTTGACGTGTCTGCTGTCCCACTTGGAGCAACATTTATGCTTCAGTTTTTAACTTCAATAACTTTTCTGGCAGAAAAATAAATCTAGTAATCACTTTTGATGAAATAGGGGGGGGGAATTAAAAAATAAATGGAAAGACGATAATTTTTACGTAAAACCAGTTATCGTTCAAATCTATTTTGTTTTTTTTGGTGTAACTCAAAGATAAATAACCGTAGTGATACTTTTAATTTTTATCAAATATTTATAATAGCATGATAAATAAATTTGTTTTGTTTTTTTTCTTTTTGATGTCTATAACAATTTTTTTGCTTGAAAAATGGGTAGCTACTAGCTAGTTCCTAATGAGTCGTTCATACACAATTTGAATAATATCGAAAATACATTGTTAGATGTTTTTTATAAGCGTTTAAAGTTAGAATTTCGATAAAACTGTGAACATATTTTGTAAATAATTTTGTAGTGKGAAATTCATAAGAATTAACTTTTAATATCTTAAATTTAAAATATCAATATGTTTATACATCTATACAATTAACATATTATATACGTAACGTATGTGCCATTAATACCTACCTAAATTGTGATTATAATATAAAGCGTTAAAATAACAGTGTTATATAGCGTTTGATTATTTTTATTACGATACGAATTTAATACTACTATAGTCGAACATTCATGTTAAAATTATAATTTATATATTTATATTTATTTATTTAAATCATCTGCTAAAATAGTATCCTCGAATATATAATTAGCACTAACAGTTTTCTGCGTTATTTTTGTTAATATTTATTGTGAATCCTGCTGCTTATTGTTAATAAATATTATGTATATCAGTATATCTATATCATTATACTTAYTTATTTATACATCATCAGAAATACGCAAAATAATTTGTTCAGAATTATTTTATTTATAGATTTATAGTTAATATAATTTATATGTATCTAAGTATCATTCATTATATAAAATAATATTATGGATATTTTCATTGACTTTTTGGTCGTTTAGCGATCCATGATTTGATTTGAGGAATAGCTAAGACTTTGTGTTTAAGAGCTTCGAGGTGTGGACGGCCATCAATAAGGTCGACATCGATTACCGATTTTATGTGATCCAAAATAGACACGAAGTATAAATCAGGCCAAGATAACTGTAAAACATAAAACAGTATTAAATATAATTATTTGCGGTTAAATAATATGAACTATACTATTATTTTAATGTAAATTATTGTTACAATAATAAAATTGTGATTTGATTACTGATTAATAGATATTAGATAGCCAGATAGGACCTGCAACTATAATACAATATCTATAGCTATAATATTAATATAATAGTATTCCATCAAAATGATTCAATGATTCAACGGTAGAATAATTTTAATTTAAAGGTAATAAGGCAGTAACTGAAAAAAATTTCTGGTAGGGATACAATATTTTTTAAATATATGTAGATGCACTCATAATTTTTACGTTCAAATATAACTTTTTATTTTCGTTATTTYTACAATAACGGAAATATAAAATTATTCTTAATAGAATATAGTTTATAAACAGTATTCACAGCTAAAATGTTTTTACTTTTAAAAATCCCGAGGTGATGGAGTCTCCTGTACTTGATTTATGGTATAGATTAATGGATTATTACAAAATTAAAATATAACATTGAATACAGAACAATAATAATACATACTAATAATTAAAGTACAAAGAGTCAGGATTGTTAAAATATTAATACTTAATAAGATATATAAATAATACATACCTTTCCATTTACAAAGTAGCCACCATTTTCAGAAACGATCTTTTCAAATCTGTCAAAATAAAATGGGATTGAATCTTTCACGATAGAGTCACGTAATTTTAATTTGATTTCCTGATTTGGTTCGTGATAGTAATTCATGATTTCTATAAATAAATAATAATAATAATAATAATATTAATCATATTTATTCAGAAAAATTGATATAAACTGCCTACCACTTACAAACAAATTAAAAAATATAAATCTATTATTAAAAAACAAATGGAAATGTTCCATAATTATACAAATAGAATAGGAGAAGACCAGAAAGAATCGCCCGAGTGGGATTTGGCAACGCAACACGTATTTAAGAGGACGCTACACCTGCATGTGTTGGTCTCCGTCTTACAAGTGCGTAACATTGTAAAAACTGTTTCACGCGGGAAAGAACCGAGAAAGCTACAGTTATAATTTTATAACTAAGTAACGAAATTTTCAGCACATAAAAAGGAGAATTTTGTCTGTGCAATATCGTTTTTATTTTTTCGATATCAGAACTACAAAAAAAGTTATTCATGCWWAAAAAWCACAAAATKAATGTATTATAAAACAATAAGAATTTTTTTTTGTATAAGTGATATCGAAAAAATAAAGACGATATTGCACAGACAAAATTCTCCTTTTTATGTGGTGAAAATTTCGTTTCTTAGTTATAGCTGTACCTTTCTCCCGCGCGAAACAGTTTTTGCAATGTTACGCACTTGTAAGACGGAGACAGCACATGCGGGTGTAGCGTCCACTTAAGCCAGTTCCTTTTTGATCAAATGTAGTCCCCGGATTATCTACTTGTATCAAACTCATTATATAAAATCATGGCATTCTTAAAATCTGAATTTCTTATATTATAAAATAAAGATGGCAAAATATTTTGTTCTTTCAAACACATTCACATAAAATCTCAAAAAAATACAATGTATAATTATATTATGCAGGATACTGGATATACATGGTATATTGGTATAGTATTCAGAATAATATATCTAATCAAATTTGATTTACGTATGATATGTTATCTGTAAAACAAGTTGCAATATAAATTAAATCCGGGCTTAACTCGTAATAAAATTTAATAGGATCAACTACTCAACTACATAATAATACCTTTAATAATAGGTATGACATTTGCGATGAAAGGATCAATTACATCGTGACCAAACGACCAAAATACTTAATATACATATTAATTAATTAATACTAATTATTGAAGTATAACATTATTAATTATTAATCTAGCCTTACTCTAACATGAACTTAACGAAGAAAACRCAGAAGCAATTTATAAATACTTCCTCAATATAAAAACGTGAGACAAAAATTTGAAATAATGTAATTTTGTTAATTTTGTAGGTACTATTAACTTGTATTTAATTCAAAAGTAGGTAGCCTATAATGACCACGGTTGTTGAAACCTTAACTAACAGATAATAATACAATTAGAGTCAGTAACAAATCAGTGTTGAGCATAATATATAACAAAAATAATATCTAGATAAGATAAAGATAATTTTGTAAACAATTATCTAGATTCAAATTCAGATGATCATTTTTATTTTTATCTAGTTAAAAATAAAGATATATATTTTTTTGTCTAGATATTATGTTAGATATTTTCATTTTTTGTTAGGGGTACGTTCAAGGTTCAACGTAGAGCGACGACTACGACTTGCGAGTGTTAACAATTCGTTAACAGTTGAATAAGAATATACAATTATTGCTTACAAGGTAGACCAAATATTATTATGTTCTGAGCTATTTATATTCGATTTACCCTCCGGACACCGCCTCACCATCCAAAAATCAAGATAATATTGTTATTATTATAACATGAAGTTGTAACGTCTTGCGGGACAGTGCCGACTGTGCGTTCCGAAGACTATATACAATCCAAGGGCGCCAAAAATAGGTTTTGCCTATGACAAAAGTTGTCAGCATTTAATGTCATTGGTAAAAATGGGGGGTGGGCGGGTGGTTATGATATTAAGGAAAATAGGGACCATAGAATAGAATAATAGATCCTTAACTGCTCCATATTGTTTTGAAGAGTATTATTTTTGTTTTATAAAAAAGTCTTGTAGGTGGGTGGGTTGGGGACATGGACATGTTTATTGACTCAAAATAAAAATGTCATAGGTTTTTCAAAATACATCAGCGCCCCTAATACGATCTAATACTGTTTATACTATAATGTATAATAATTATACTTATACTCTATATACCTAGTATAAATATTATACTATATAAAGTACCTATGGATTTGCAGTCACGCCTCATAATAGAATAATTATATATATATAATAAATAATAGACTAATTCTCTAAATACGAGTTCACGAAATAATGTGCGTCGCTGGACGAGGGTTTTACACTTATACGAGTTATACGTAATAAATAACATTGCTTAGATTTATATAAATAGACAAAAACGATATTATTCGTTGATACCTTTCCTAGTAAACAACATTAAATGAGAAATGTAATAATAAATAACAAAGAATAGACACATCCGTATCAGCGATAATGTGCCGACAGTCGACATACTATACCGTCAATACCAAAATGGCTATATGGCTATTATCAATACAATTACTGCAGTCTGCAATGAAAAAAAAAATAGTTATATTCACGTTTATTTTCAAGAATAGTGTAATAATATTTTGTTTGATCAATGATAAAATTAAATTAAAAATTAAAAGTACCAAACTCGGATCCTTACATCACTTATACTTATTGTAAAATATTATATTTACAGATTGTATAATAAAAAAATTATGTACAAAAAAATATATAATATAATATACTCGGTAATTCAATATAGCTATTAGCTATAATATTATTATAAGAATTTGGAACTATTTAAACATAAACCATAAACATACTAATATTATATACCCACAAAGGTATATCACTATTCACTACCTATATGGCTATATCAGTATATGTTTTGCATTTATACCTTAAGAGTTATGAGTTTATGACTATATTATATTTAAGTAGAGACAGTAGAGTCTGCAAAACCATTCATTTGATGCACATAACATCGTGGTTAAAAACGAGCATAAGTGTTTATTTGACGATGATTTTGGTTTAATGATTATCGGAAAAATTTAATATATAAACATTCAGGTAATAAAACATTTTTACAAATCTCAAAATATAGGTACAAACATTAATTTTTTGCAAATTCTTAAACACTCAAATATGTAAGACAATGTTAAATAGAATTTCATATTATATATATACGTAGTAATGCAAACAAATTTTGAACAAACATAATTATTATAATAAAAAATTGGAGGTAAGTACCTATAGCGAAAAAAAGTATGAGGACCCATGAATGAATTCAAATTACAGCTCTTATTGGTTATATTTATAGGTTCACTAAATGTGTAAGGTATGTCCAGACTGTCCAGTATGTATAGATACGTCTAAAGGCATATTGCATATAGCACACCTAGAGTAACATTATGAACTGGATATTTGTTTGTTATCATCCCGCCATAAATAAAATATATTTTAATAAAATAAAATAAGCAATTTAAAAATATATATATAAATTTACAAAGGAGGCCATTTAAGTTTGAAAATGTATTATAAATTATAATTATAAATTTTAAAAAAAATATATAAATGTACTAATATATTATTATGATATAAAATGTCTCACGAAATCTAGTTATTTCCCAAAATAGATCATCTATCACGAGCTAAACTCGATAACAATATGGTGGGGCGATAACGAACAAGAGTGGCGGGGAGATAAATTTTATACGGTGTACTGGCGGGGGGATAACAAACAAGTACCTAAAA